ATTTTTCTCGGGGAAGAAACAGAACTGCCAATTTTCACTGCAAAGATTTTGTCTTGGAGATAGGAAGCAATAAGTCTAATACAATGATCGGGGAAGTTTAACTTGATAAGTTTGTATATAAGTCCCTGGTGCCATACCCTATCAAAAGCTTTCGCAATATCAAAGAAAATGGCTCCGGTAGGGAACTTACAATTGAAACTGTCAGTAATATAGTTGATGACGCGAAGCAGCTGGTGATTAGTATTGTGAAGATGACGGATGCTAAACTGTTCTTCGGGAATGTAGGAGCTCTGTGGAATAATTTGATTAATATGATATAGAATAACTTTTTCAGCTATTTTAAAAAGTTGACTGAGAAGGCTGATTCTGGTGAAACGTCGAATTTTGATGCGGTTTTGGGAAGACGACGGTGATGGCATGTTTCCATATATTAGGAAAGTAAGAGAATTTGATGCTAGAGTTGATTATCTTAGTAAGACAAATGATGGCATTGAGAAGAAGATGTTTCAGTGCTTTGGTAGCAATATCATCAACACCTGGAGCTTTTTGGGGTTTTAAGGAGCTAATATAATCGGCAACCAGCTTAGGCGTGGCAAGGAATGTAAAGTTCAAAGGACCTGGGATTTTTAAGAAGGTATTAACAGTATCATTAACTTTGGAGACATGATTGTTGTCGTAGGGGGTAGTATTGGGAGTAAACGTTTCTTCTAGTATATCTGCAAAGATGTTAGCTTTATCTTCGTCTGAATAAATCATTCCGTTGGTACCATGAAGAGGCGGAATTTGCTTGAAGGGTTTCTTAAATTTCTTTGCAATGTCAAAAAGAAAATTATCTTTAGTTGCGAGAGAGTTGAGGTAGTTTCGCCAGCGTTGCGTCTTGAAGTTACTAATGTTTTTTTTTTTTTTTTTTTTTTTTTTTTTGATGTCACGCTGAAGAGCGTTCACTTGCGTTTTGAGCCTTGGGTCTATTGTATTTTGCTAGTTTTTCCTAATACGATTTTTGCATTTGGTTTTTCGTCTTATGCCCGCTGGAAGAGGAAGAAAAGGATGGGAACTGATGAATTTATGGGTTGAAAAATTGATAGCATGTTGAATATAGGTGGTAAACTTCTAGATTTCAGACTCAATATTGTCTTCATTGATAATTTTGGGATTTCCAGGAATGGTATCTGAAATGATTTTTTAGAACTTTTTCCAGTCTGTAACGCCAATACTCCTGTCCAGTGAAGGTAAGTAACTATTTATATGATGATTTCAAGAAGAAGGAGATTATGGTCAGATGAAAGAGCTGGAATAACAGAAATTTGGCAATTGTAGTCGAGGTTGTTAGATAGAAAAAAAGTCAATAATAGAAGAACTATTATAGCCGTAATGGGTATGTTGATCAGAAACGGGAATGGTATAATTTTTATTTTGAATCATGCTGAAAATTTCTCGTCCTTTTCTATTGCTATCTTCTTGATTCCAGCATTGATGCGTTAATATCTCCTCCAATTAAACCAGCGTTAAAATCACCTCAATTAAACCAGCGTTAAAATCTCCTCCAATTAAAGCAGGAGAGTTAAAATTCAGTAGCTGTTCAATTTCAGAAATGATTGGACTATTATTAGGAGGTATATAGGTATTAGAGAAAATTAATATTTTGTGCTCAATTTGAATTTCGATAGTATTGCTTTCAAAAGAGGTAGAAAAATTTTGTTTGAGTTGATGTTGGATGCTCCTTTTAACAAAAGTTATAATTCCACCTCCGCGTACGGTAAATAGAATAATTTGCGTAAAGCACTTTGAGCGCAAGTTTCAAATGCTAACTTTGAAATGCGTTTTCTTTCTTGAATAACAATTTCTCTGCAATGCGCTTTGATCTGCATCATTTAATTTATTCTTTCCAAAAGATTGCTTATAAGTTTGGGAAAAAAAAAGAGAAAAAAGAGAGAAAAAATTTTTTTTTTAAATAATGATTTATAATTCGCTCAAAATTTTTCTACGTAATTATAGACATTGCTTCTGATTTCAGTTTATTTTCTACTAAAATCAAACAACAATAATTATAACCAGAGGAGTATAAAGGAATTCAAAAAGAAAATATTTGGTTTTTCTACTGGAAGGAAGAACGCTGAATTATACAGTTCGACGGCTACAAATTTTTATTTTCCTGAGAACGCAACTTTTCTGAACAGCAGTAGATATAAGAAGTATTTATCCATATTTATAAGTAACTATGTTAATCACACTTAAAATGATAAATTCTCAGTAATTTACTTCAAAGCTTTTTTGTATTCAAAATCTGTTTTATTGTTTTTGAAACGATATAAATTTAGACTTGCGACTCTCGAACGTTCATCTAATCTGTCATTAGGTTACTATAGTCTTGAGGTTTGGCCACCCCTGTGTTTCAAAATGTTTAATGACATGACAACAAAGAAGTAATATGTTTTGTTGGCTTTGGGCTTCTTTTAGATAAAATATTTTAACAAATTATTTATTTTTTATGACATCAATGAGATTAAAAAAAAGATTATTTATCTCTTATGTATGATAATTTTGACGTCCTCTTTTTATTCAATTTTCATTAATTTATAAGAGTATAAAACCGTTATTGCACATTTAGTCTACGTAATCAGAATATAATAAACTCTATCGTGAAGATCAACTCCCTGAGATGATCAGTTCTAAAAGTGGCCAGTATTCCTGGGAACATAAATAAATACTAGTACTAAACTGAGGGATAGAGAGAATTATAATTTTTCTTCATACCTAGTCTCTTTCGGTTAAAACCACGGTACGCCATGAGGCTATTATAAAATTACTTTCAATGCAAGTGCTTCAGTAGCGTAGCCAGCATAACTGGCGCCCGGGGCAAAATACTTTTTTGGCGCCCTCCCCGAAAAAAAAGCACTTACAGTAATATAATGTATAGAATATATTCGTCATAAGAAAATAATGCAATTAATAATAAAATGCTGAATTTGCCATAAAATACTCTAAAATATATTAAGAACAGTCACTACCTAACTACACTAACATTGGATTCGGAAATGTATCTGTATCGGCTGAAAAATCAGACATACGATGATCTAGAATTAGTTAAAAAGGTATTTATTTTACATATTTATATAATTGTCTTTCAAAAAGTACAATTTTTAAACAATTAAAAGTTTAATATATATAAGCAGATATATTTATTAATAATAATATAATACTATAATACATTAATATAATTAATTACTACGTATATTTTTTCTTGCCTTGGATGAAGCAAATTTATCAATTACTTCATCAAAGTCGATCATTTCAAATTTTCTTTTTTCCACATTTAAAAATAATTGATGACTTCGGGGATCTCGTCCCATCGTTGATTGTAAATACGTCAAAGTTTATTTTAATTTGCTGAACGAACGTTCATACCTAGCATTTGATAATGAAATAGTAAGGAATATTTGAAGTGCGACTCTGAGGTTTGGAAAAACATTTTCTCCATACTTTATTATAAAGGCAACATCTGTAATGGACTTTTAGGGTCAGTTTCTTTTCTACTACGGAATAGCATCTTACAGACACATACACTGCTCAAAACAATTAGGGGATATTGTGAGTTCGGTCTGAAATAACCATATAATCGAAAACCTTTTTTAACAAAAGGAAATACAAGAGATTATAAAGGAAAATCATAACGTTTACAGAGTTGGGAATATGCAAATTTAGTATGTGACTATGCGTTTTAGATAAGGACTATGCGTTTTAGATAAGGAATAAGGAGCGACCTGCAGCATTCCTTTTGTAGTAGGAGATTAAAAACAATAGACACGTGTGAATGCTTTGTAACAGTGAATATAAAATGTCTCAGCAAGATGACTTAGTTGAATTGGTAGCGAGGAAGACCATGGGCCATCACTGTAGCGGAAGCGTTAGGAGTTTCCCACAATGTCATTTCCGGACTATGAAATCGGTCTTTGGAAACTGGATATGTTCGAAAAATTCGGGGCAGGGTCGTATTATTGTTTTAAAATAAAAAGCGGGAGCTATACGTGCATTTCGTTTCAAAAAAATAAAAATATACCTCTGTTTTAGAGAAATAAACTGGTGAGAAAGATCGTTTTGTATGCGGAAATATTTGGTTGATGTATTGCAAACATTTATTACACATTTTAAATGAAAAATAAATAATTAATTATATTACAATAATTATTAATTTTAAATATATTTTCCAGAAATCGATCAAAATAAAAACTTAAATTTTCGGTAAAATCTTGCTTGGAGACCATTTGGCGCCCCTCTGCCAGCGGCGCCCAGAGCATCATACACCCCCTTGCCCCCCCCGCTACGCTACTGAAGTGCTTGCGTTTATATCAAGAAGGCTCGAATTATTCTAACGTCCTTGGCTCGCACTTCTGTATAAAGAGAGCTCAACTTTAAACAAGAAACTAGCATAAAAGAAAGAGCTATCCTATGTAAACATTTTAGATTTATTTAATTCAGATCCTGTCAGTAATAAAATATGTATCTCGTTGCCACTTTCGATCTTTCGAGATTAAGATTAGAAATAATGTTATATTCCCTCAGAACAACATATGATTTAGGTTCATGACAACATATAGTTTAGGTTAAAATAATCCGCCGAGCAACGATTATCTTAGAAGTCAAACAACATAAACCAGCGTTATATTTGCAAATTTTCCAGGACAAATTTCGATGATTTAATTATCGAACCATTCACCTCCCCTGCCAAATTTCAAAATGCATTTTGCCAAAAGAGCCAAAGTGCATTTTATACCTGAGGAAGATGGTTCGGTAGTTAAACTATCGAAACCAGTCCTGAAAAATTTGCAAATATAACTCTGATTTTTCTTGTTTGACTTAAATAAATATATGGTTTGTGGGTAATGTATTTGATAATAAAATATTATACACAGTGAGCCTAAAAATGTCGGTTTAAGTATTTCTTCCGCTAAACTGGCTACACTTCACAGGTAAATAATCGGTGGGGAGGGGTATTGCACTTACATGTGCTATTGTTTGTGTTATGTAACTAGTGTACAGATTGTGATGTAATTGACGATATGTAGTTACGGTATGTTTTAAAGATTGTTAAAGGGATCATTAAAGGAACATCCCATGCATGAAGTACTTTCGAAAAATCGTTTACCTTTATTTAGAAAAGTGGTAATTATTATTATTTTTTTTTTCCCCGCATTACTGTATTTTTTGCGAAATGCTTAGATTGTCCAAGGTACTTGATGCAATAACACGTGTATGTTAAATTATGTTTAATATGTATAAAATGCAACTGAAATAAGCATTGGAACCGTAATTGTTTTCTTAAATTAGTAAAATGTTTTATTTTGCTTTAAAAGAGTCATTAAATCAAAATCGGAATTGGATTAGTTTTTGTATTTATTTAAATACTTTCGGGAATATTCTGAAATTTATGTTAGTTGTGAGATTTATTTCCGCATTTTGTGGTACTTCATTCGGTTCACCTTTTCTTAACCAATAATTGGATTGCTTAATTTATTGTTAGTGATGTAGACGACTTAAATGTCTGGAACTAACTTAGGGTATCAATCATATTTCTTTAATTCTAAGCTATAAACTATAATTTTAAAGAATTGGATAGGCTGTCTTGAAATTTTAATCCTGAATTTTTAATGTTTGGATGTATATTTTTTGGAAAATAAACCCTCAAAGTTTAATTTAGGAGATTTATATGCATGTAAATTGTATGATGTTTAGATGTAGTATTATTAGATGTTTAAAACATTTTTTTTTTCTTATTTCTTCATTATTTAACTATCTGAGAAACAAATTAATGCAGTTGCTGATGTGATAAGATGTGTATTTATTTTGTTTGTTTTGTAATCTACACTTTTTAATAACCAGTTTAAATACAATGTTTTCTTCACCTTTTTTAATGCCTGTTCAAAAAGGTTATAAATTTACATTTTTCAAAATGTTAAAATTATTGACAGATATTTTTTCCCAGTCTGCTTATAATTATAAACAAGTGAGAAAAGTCAACCTCTGTATGATATTGATTTCAATTAAAATATTCAATAAATTTCAGAAATGAGGGGGTAGACTGCAAGCCTTTCATATCCATTAGACCTAAAAGAAATTATTACTTAAAGAAAAAGTCCTAAAAAATTATTGAAACCTACCCAACTGAAATCTGATGCTCCATGCTTGAAAGTGAGATTAAAAAATAAATAAATAAGTAACAGTTGTCATAGAAGTAAGAAAATTTGTCCATTGGGAGGGAAAAAACTGAATTGGCATCAACAAAATGCAAAATTAGGTAATTTGTAATATAGAAAATAACATCTGTAGTAATTCTTTGCCCACCAGTGAGAAAGTGGTGAAGCTGCTGAACACTAGTATTTTGACCCAGTTTCGAATCCTGGTGAATGGGCTGGTTTCATACAAGTTTTCAGCATTTCTATATGTTCATGGATATGAGCCAGATTTTCTAAAACATCTTCTACGAAAATATCCCTCCCAATAGTCAGGTGGCCCATGCATTGCTTTGCCTTAATGAATTAACCTTTTATAGTAAATGTTATTGTGGTCCTCACGTTATAGCCCGTTGACCAGCCAAGAAGCATTATTTAGTGCCAGTTTAGCATCCAAATACATTCAAAAGAAAAAGAGTCAGATTTGTAATAAATAAACTTGCATAACATAAACAAACAAACTTTTTAAGACAAAATTCTGTAAAACATTGTACATGGCCAGGAGTTATATCCTTCTGTGTTACATAGGCATGATATCATCATCTGCCTCAGCAGTGAACTCTATTAATCTTTATATTCTGGACTTGTAAATAATAGCATGCTATTAGAAAAGACTTTACTGAAGAACTCTCTTTTAAATGCCCGTGTGATTTGACATTCCAAATGTAATGATTAATATCTGCCTCACTATAATCTACCACAACCGAGGCACAGCATTGATAAATACAAAGTAGGAAATTATGTAATCAAGTACATTGATATTGTTTTTGGCATATATACGGATGCCAAAATCTGTACTTGATTTGAAAAGTTGTAGAAAAATTCAACATAATTTTTAAACAGCTACTTAAGCAAATCTTTAATAATGTTTTAAGGATAATTTTTAGTTTTTTTTTTTTTTTTTTTTTTTTTTTTTTTTTTTTTTTTTTTTTTTTTTAAACCATTTGCACTAACAATTTAGAGATTGTGTGATTGCCTTTCCAAATAAAATGAGTTTATATTTATTTTAAAAACTGCTGACAGATACAGAATTTTATTTTTTGCTGCACCACTGTAACTGTATTATACATGGCCTTCTGTAGGCAGTATTCCAAAACTGTAAAAAAGCCCAACAATCCTGATGAAAAGATTTCAAATGTAAGCAGATTAGACTAATGTGGAATCCATGCAGAAAGAATTCAACTTTTGGTAAAATCGTAGTATACGGTGCAGCCTTGGCACGATTTTGAAAATTATCTCCAACACCAAAAATGACCCAAAGAACGTTTGTGTATGTACTATATACTATCACTATATACATAGTATATACTATGTATAACTATATACATTCTTTGAATGATCCATTTACTACTCATCGTATATGTTCCGTTTTTATTGCTCATCATAAAAATCGCCAAGAGTAGCCAAATCCAATGTGCACCGGATACTAGGATTAAACCCAACTTTTAGAAAGTTATGTAATGAATATCCATTTGTTTTCAAAGGGATTAACTGAAAAAGGTTATATCTTATGCATTCAATTTTATTAGTTTGTGTGATAACCTGATGTTGCAATCCATTATACAGTGTCTCTGATATTCTAACTCTTCAGAATAAATTTGGTTTTCTTCAATAAGAATGTAAAAAAGATGGAAGGTCTTGAGCCTAACATCAATGAAGTTTTACACCTAAAATTTCTTACTTTCCAAGTGCTGTCATGCAATTATAGTGTATATATATGTTATGGTGAAAGATCAAAATCTGGGGAATGTTGACTTTCACCGGTGAATGTCAACATTCACATAATCGCTTGGTGTATGTCCGAAATATTTTTCAAATACTCTTATTTCTGATTTATAAGAATATTAATTTCCTTATCCGTAATTCATTCGTGAAAAAAATGCACTTGAGACTCAGAATAAGAACTTAAAACACACAGTACATTCAAAATGAGAAAGGAAAATAATAGAAGTTATAAACTTACCAAATTAGTGATTCAAATCTTATTTATTGCAACAACTTAAACTATTATGGCACTTTGAATTGCACAAGAGGCCCTTGCTTTTACAACTGCATTTATTTGAGGGAAAACTTCCTTTTGGAATGGCAGCGTGTACATATACTCCTCTCTTTTCGACCTACATCAGAGCATATCTGTGATTGTCGACATACACCGGTGAGGGTCCAAATGTACAAGAATGTTAAGAAATATTCGATCTTTCACCGACGTATTTGGTGAATGTTGACATTCTCCGGTGAATGTTGACATTCTCCGGTGAAAGTTGACATTCTCCAATTTTGGTCTTTCACGGTAACATATATATATTATCTAAAAGTATTTAGTTATTAGATTACTGACTGTTGATTCTTATTTGTGTATTAAACAAGCAAAGAGTGTTGTTGCAATCCATAAAACATCTTTGAAAACTGAATACAGGACTGGCACCAGAACTTATGCAGTATGTTAGGTGGCAAAGATTTTAAAATTTAGAGAAGCAACAATATTAAGGGATGGCAGAATTTGTAGAATTTAGAGGAGGCTGTGGGCAGCAGAATTTAGGTTCAGGAAAAGTTTTATAATTTAGGAGTATGCCAGGCAGTAAAATAGATTGCACAGCCCTGGCTGTATGTATGCTAAAAACAACTAAAATGCAAATCAAATGCACATTTCCTAACATTTTGCCTTAACAATATGGTTATATGCAAGCATTACTAGCTCCAAATATGGAAGAAAAGATGCTTTTCTACTTTAAAATGAAATAAAAATTATCTGCAGTCATCATTAATGAAATGTGAATTAAATAATTGAAGTGTTCTTTCCATGGAATACTGTATTGTTGCATTTTTCTGTTCGTACATTACGGGTTCGTATGGATTTGGAGTGAATAACGACAACAGCATTTGATGAAGTATTAACACTTTATTGGTCAGTATTATTCAAGACATCTCCAATAATACGTTTACAGTCGTCGAAGATCTACTATAAACACGGTGAAACAATCAACGACACAGCCTTCAGGTTATCAGGCTATATAACGGTGGAGACAGCTTCACTGCAAAGCACCAGAGCACTGCAAAGCTCCCGACTCTTCTCGGTTGTTCTCGGAACTCTATGTACTCTCGAGACTCTCCACGCTACAACTCGCAGTGCACTCGACGATAGACTAGAGTACAGCTCCTGACTCCTCGGTTCAGTTGTTCCCGGAGCTCAACACACTCTCTCGATGATGCACTAACTATAATACGCTAAGAGACTCTTTTGGTGCACTCGACACTAGATTGCGAGACACTCGCACACTGACCGAATATCAACTCGATCAACTCTGCATGGACTAACTCGCGATCGACTCGCTAGACGAGACACTGACTGATGGTCAACTCATTCGACTCTCACTAACTGTCTGTTCACATACCAGCAGGGTTTATATCGCTTTTGTCTTGTGTTCGAGAACATTTTGTGCTAAACCAGTAAGAATTCATTCCAGAAGGTTCTCCATCCATCTATGTCATATCACCAATTTTGTTGCCAAATGGGTGATTTCTCGCCAAATTTGGCAACCCTGCCTTCCCTTGCTGTTTTATGGCAATCCTAAACCTGCTTTGCAGGGAAGCTATCTTACTGCGCCTGGACATTTCGTAACAGTATATTAGGAAGGACAAATCATAAAGTTACTCATAGGTTTGCAGAAAGCAAATACTAGAGTTAGGGAATTAAAATCTTTTAAGTTTTTTTGGGGGGAGGGGGATGTATGTGTGTCTATATTATATTTATAAGTGCAAATAAATTATCTTATTTTATTATAAATATTGTCGAGTGAAACAAAAATATGCAATATTTATGTATTTCAATATGACATGTTTTGTGGTAAAAGTTAATTATTTGTATCATTTAATGACTGCTTAATTTAGTTATTGTTAAGGCACAATGTTTGTTTAACCAGAGGTCCTCAAATTTTGTAAGAGAACCCTGGCCGTTCCACAAAAATATATCATGCTTGTACTGTCATACGGGCACAGAATTTAGTGGCAATATATTTATCTAAGGTTAGCATGCTATGTGTACTTAAATTGTTTTAGGTACTTCCCAGCCAAAGCACTTTTCACGAATCCAGTTTTCTTGTTTCTTACTTTCATACACATTTTATTTTTTCGAGCATGTATTTTCATTTCAGAAGCAGAGAATACATCAGAAGCTTGGTTATTTCTCTTTAAAAATACACTGAAAATTTTCATTTGAAATCAGTGTCAAACTTAAATTTGCCTCTTTTTTTTTTTTTTTTTTTTTTTTTTTTTTTTGGTACTTATCCGTTTTGCCGGCGCAAATCTCGCCAAGCAGACTTTATTGGCAACAACATACAGTATACATGTAAAAAATTTTATCAAATGTTATGTCTAAGAATTTTTTATTTTGAAGGCATAAACATTTTAATATCGTTTAAAATTTTGTAAAAATCCAATAAATAAAGACAAGAAATTTGTAAAAAGATATTTATTTAAGAATTTACTATGTTTTCATGGTTCAACATCCTGATTTGCCTTTTCATATCACATGACCCCAAGCGATCTCATGGAAACTACGCTACAAAAATCCAATCTCAGTAATTATCTACATTAATTTCAAGTTAAATCTTAATTTGGAATACACGTTTAAATGCAAAAATTATTTCAATTCGTACGAATAGCTTACTCAGAAATTATGTAAAACCGCAGTGCTTTACTTTGCAAGTGCATTCTCATTAGAATAAATGAATTTAACCCTTGACTTTGCCTTTTCTGTATTTTCGCCATCGGATGAGCACTGTGATTGCATCCTAATTGACTTAATTACCGCGAATGATCTTAGGGCATAAAATTGAACTGATAAAAATTCTATATAACTGTATACCAGTATTGAAAGAAACAATCAATCTGTTAAGAAATGGCTGCGACTTGTTTTAAAAATGAGGCGTAAAAGGTTACCAGAGAGGATATTACGTTTGGCATCAGTTGTACCATTATTGGTGACTTTAATGCCTGCGCCGACAAAACAGAAAAGTACCTTTTTTTTTTTTTTTTTTTTTTTTTTTTTTTTTTGGTAATTTTTAAGTTCACATTCAAGTTGTAAAGACATTTTCAAGTTGATTTGCAAGTATTAATTGTCTTTGAGTTTTGCATTGGAAAATTATTATGTATAATGAAATGTTAGTTTTAATAATGATTTAATTTGTCACTTTCAGTCTATTTTCTGTTTACATATTAAGAATTCTGCTTACATATTAAAATATATATGCCTATTAAAAATTAATATGCAAGATTTTTCAATAGTCTGAAATGATATTCTGTTTATTTCATGTCAGACTATTCTAAACTCCTGCACATTAATTTTAAATACTTATATGGTATTTTCTCCCTCATTTCTGCATGCTGAAGGACACCTTGTAACTGGATAACACATCTTGTTAGCAAGTGGGAGGTCTGCTGTTCAAATGATGCCTGGACTAAAAGGTGGCGGATGATAATTAGTCACCTCCATGATTTGGCAAAAGGGTCCCTTTATTCCTAGTGGCCCTCTAAAAGGGGAAGTATATAAGGCATTTTCTTTCACAAGAATATCATGCAAAGATTCACAAGAGTAATAGTGTTGATAAAAACATGACATGATTAATTAAATAGATGAAGAATCATCTACCTTGAAGAATTTAGCTTAAAATTGTCAATAAAGCAAAATAACTTTAAAACAGAGGAAAAAAATTATGACTAGGCCATGTTGCAATAAAGAATTATTTTGTGTATATGGACATACAAGACATTCTTAAAAATAAGGTACTCTTCTGTTATCCGGGCTGGATTCAGAAATGTATGTATGTATGCATTTGTGTTTGCATGTTATGTATGTATATATGTGTGTGTGTACATGCACATATATATGTAGGTAAAGATAATATGCATATATGAACTCGCACATCCATCCATACATGCATGCATGCATACATACATTTTTTAATCCGGTCCTGATAGCAGAAGAGTACCAAAAATAATATAACTCAGTTGCAGATAAAAACCGTAGGCAGTAGCTGTTGTAACTAACTGCATGTGAAACCAGTTAAGCGAGAGGAAGAATGCATGAACCAAAAGGCCATCTAATAACTCATAAAAGGGTATCATTAAGAACTAAGTAAACTAAGTAACATAATTTTAAATATGTGGCTTTTAATTTTCAGTATTCAATTTGATACTTATATGGGCTAGTGTCCTCAAGAGGTGTGTCCTCACTATAGGTGATGAGCTTAGTCTCCTCCATACACACTCTTAGACAACAAAAAAAAAAGATGCACCAAGAAGGAGTTATCCGAGTGGGACGAAAATCGGTAGAAGTGATGTACATGTACAGAAAAACAAATGATTACGGTTTGAGAAAAATTGGATGATTTATTGAAGTGATAGAGCTTCGCAAAATGAAAAAGTCAGTGATGCGTTCGTCCACCTCTGGCATTTATGCAAGCAGTTATTCAGCTTGGCATTGATTGATAGAGGTTGCGGATGTCCTCCTGAGGGATATCATGCCAAATTCTGTCCAACTGGCGCATTAGATCATCAACATCTCGAGCTGCTTAGAGGGCCCTGCCCATAATGCTCCAAATGTGCTCAATAGGAGAGAGATCCGGTGACCTTGCTGGCCAAGGTAATGTTTGGCAAGCAGTAGAAACATGGGCAGTGTGGGGGCAGGCATTATCTTGCTGAAATGCAAGCCCAGAGTGGCGTGACGTGAAAGGCAACACAACGGGCCTTAGAACTTCATTGACGTACCACTGTGCTGTAAGTTTGTGACAGATGACAACCAAAGGGGTCCTACTATGAAATTAAATGGCACCCCAGACCATCACTCCTGGTTGTTGCCTTGTCTGCCGGAAGACGGTCAGGTTGGTATCACACTGCTGTCCGGGATGTCTCCAGACTCGTGTTTGCCTGGCCATCGGGGCTCAGTTCAAAGCAGGACTCATCATTGAAGACTATTCTACTCCAGTCAGTGACATTCCAGTGTGAATGAGCACGACACCACTGCAAATAGGCTTGACGTTGTACAGAGGTCAATGGTAGTTGGCGCAAGGGGCGGTGTGACCTCAGCCCCCTTTCTGTGAGCCGTCTGTGAATGGTCCTTCTGGTCACTGAAGCACTAGTTGCACATACAATCGATGATAATGATGCATCTGGGGCTGTGAGTGCCGTTCTGACTTTGCTCGGTCTTCACGTTCTGTTGTTTCTCTAGGCCTATCGCTTCCTTCTTGACGCTGTGTGCGGCCATGGTTCACCCATTCCTGTGAACATCATCTAATAGTGGCATCACTCCTGCTCAAATGTCGAGCTATTCGCCGATAAGACCAACTGGCTTCTTTGAGCCCACTACATGACCTCTCTCAAATTCTGACATCTGCGCATATCGTTCGCGCATCTGTATGCAAGGCATAGTTACTGCCTACCAGAGTACACCGAATGAAATTCGAAAAATTTATTACCTGGAATCGTAATTTCTCCTCTTAAATATCCAACAGTTGCGCAGATCAGATGTGTTGTAGCAACAACTGTTCATTCATTGGGAGCCAAAATTTAAAGTTTTGCATTTTCCATCGAAGCCTGTATGCATATCAATTTGTGTCCAATTTGCTTTATATCTTCTCGGTGCGTCCTTTTTTTTTTTTTTTTCTAAGAGTGTATTTGCTAATTAGTCTTCTCAAGATGAAAGGCGTGCATTTCTTAGAAATTAATGTACTGTGTGCAAAAATTATTTTTTCTAATATCGGCCTGTTATGTTAAAATGTGACAAATGCAATTTTCATATCTTTCATAATATCTTATCTGTAAATATTTTGTTTCAACATTTTAAGCACAGAGAGGTATTATTTAGATGTTCCTTTATATGATCTTTTTTTATTTCCAGGTAATTACATTATCTGAAAGATACCCCACAACTTAGTGACATGACTCCTGATGATACAATATATCTCATCCTTTTATTAGTTTCCACATCATTTGGTTATTTCGTCCGTCAGGTAAAGCATGTCAAAATGAAACAATATGTTTGCACTCTCATTGGTTTTATCCTTCTTGCAATTGTGTCTGGATTTCATATCTTACATCCATTAGTTCTGACCACTGTTAATGCTGTCCTGGTGCTTCATGTCAAGAGGTAAGTCATAAAAAAGTTAAAATGGCAATCTGTTATATATAGTAATCAACTAAAAAATCCTTTTATGATGTGATGCACAAGTATGAAATATTTGATGTTGTATTGTTGGTCTGTTTGAAAATAACTTATGTGTATGTATTTGGATGTTTAAAGTAATTGTTCATTGAGGTTATGAATAAAGTATAGATTATTATCTGTGGGAGATCTTGATTTATCAATCATCAAAACAGTTTTTGGAGGGAAGTGGAAGAAAGGTTATTGTAAATAAAAGATTCTGATTTCTAGCTCGATTTGACTGTTGAATGCTTTGTACCAGGTGCTATATTCACAGCTGAGTTGTTAATTGGTGTTGATTTTTAATGTTCCTAGCAGAACTGCTTTTATCTGTTCGTGAAATTTATTTGTGAGGCTGCATTACACTAAGTATATTACGCTGTTATTTAAAGTAATTTGTTTTATTTTCTTTAATGATTTAAATGTCATTCCACTGAATTGAAGATTATGAAAATAAAGATTATGAAAATAAAAATTAAAATAAATAATTATACAAATGTAGTTAGCTTTCCATAATCAGAGCAGTAAGTATAATCTTTCTGACTTTTAATAAGGCTGCTTCTTTCAATAGCTTAATCATGTTTTAGTTGTTTCGGTATGCAACAGGGGATTATAATGGCAAATTGAGTTTACTTTCATAAAGTTGGAAACATAGTAAATTTATATGAAGAAATAGTGCTTTCTTAATGGTTTGATATTTCTGTATGTAGTTAAAAATTTTCAAAGAATAACAGTAGAGCAAAAACTGGTTTTAAACCTTCTCTAATGTCGCAATGAATGAAATTTGTCAAATTCATGTAACTTAAAGTCAGATTCCAATTCCCTCACTTGTAATGATTTTCAGAATAATATTTCTTATTTAATTTTATTTCATCTGAATTGCATTTTTTTCTTATTAAATTGTATTGATCTCTGCCTGATTAAATTTCATTTGATTTCAGTTGTCTTAATCAACTGTAGACATTTATATATTTTTATATGAAGATTCAAGCAATGATGAATCAGTTTATAATTAATTTTGCTTATTTTAATGTACATTACTAAATTTATCTAAACAAATACTATGTACATAAATTATTAATTTTATTTTCATCGTATTTAAAAGCACATTGATGATTAAAAGCTTTCCTTTACTACTCAGATTTTCTCACTATGAGAGTGTAAGAAAATTTAAAAATGAAATTAGCCAAAGAAAATAAAATTTCGAATATCCAGTTAAATGCTTATGTATTTTACATTAGACTTGAATTAAAAATAGTTTAAGAACTTGAACCATGCATTATAAAGTGAATTAAAGTCAGTTTGGAGTTCTTTTGAAATGGTGTCAGCATGCAGTATGAAAATCTGCCAGTTTTTTTTTTCAAAAATCTCCCAGTTTTTAAGATTTCAAGATTGGCAACTATGCAATTTTATTTTTACAATGAAAGGCTATTTTTTAGCTCTTTTTCTACATCGTTTCCACCAATGTTAAGACAATTGTTGTAGTGGATTTATGTATATCTTCCTCAAAGAAAGTTCCCACCAGTGTTGACAACCATATCTTCACAGAACTTTTTGTGTTGTCCTTGCTTTGAAAGCACTGACCTCCAAGGTGACGCGTCATATGCAGGAACAAATGGTAATTAGATAATGCCAGGTCTGAGCTGTAGGAGGATATGACTAAACGCCTACCAACCGAATTCCTCTGTTTCTCTGCGACAGCAATAGCATACAGCCAAACATTGCCTTGAAGCAAAACAATTCCTTAACTAAGCATTTCTGTTCTTTTGTTTTGAATTGCATGCTGAAGTTTTTTCAAAGTCTCACAGTATCAAGCAGCGTTGATGGTTTCATCTGTAGGAAGAAATTCAGCAAGCAGGATCGCTTTTGTATCCCGAAGCTCAGTGCATATGATTTTTTGGGTTGATATTGATGCTTTGAATTTTCGTCTTTTGGGAGATCCTGTGCGACTCTGCTCCACCAACTATTGTTTATTCTGGAATGACATGATGAACCCAAGTTTTATCACCCATCACTAACTGGCTTAAAAATGTCTCTTCTTTATCACTGTATCGGTAAGGGATGTCAAAGCCTCGTTAAGTCACTTGGTTTTGCAGACATCTATCTGTCAGCATTTTTGGTACCCAACAAGGGCACATCTATGGTTACCTCATCAGTGAGAAACCTTTTCTTGCAAAGCAGTTCTTGAAATTTCAGGAAATTCATCAGAAAGCATTGACAGTGTAAAGTATCTGAACCCTTGAAGTTTTTCGTCAACTTGCCTTACCAAATCATCACTGACAACAGAAGGCCACCTGCTCCCTACTTCATCATACTCATTTGCTTGTCTTTCATTGAATGTTCTAATCCATCATCTCACCATATTATTGCTTATTGCACTTTCATAAAAAATCTCAATAATTTGATGAGGAATTTTAGCAGGCTTTGTTCCTTGCATTCAAGAAACAAATTACAGACCAAATCTCACATTCAGCAAATTCTTCAGTTATGTTAAACATTTTTTGTAATCACAACAAACTGAAAATACAGATCAACTGCAGTGGTGTCAGTAGAAAGGCGAGAGACAAGAAAGACAAGTGTACATTCCTGGAGAAGTGTATTTTGCCGTCTGGTGGAATCTCTGATGGTCCTAAATTCTGCCCCCTAATACTAAGAATTTTGCAGCTCCTAAATTCTGCTGCCCAGTATCTCCCGTAAATTCAAAAAACTTTGCCATCATTAAATGTTTCCTTTTAGTGCTTTTCTAAATTCTAAACATTTTGCTGAACGGGTTACACCGGCTCTGGTGCCGGTCTTGACTGTCAGTAGCACTGTGGCCTTGAAAGAACAAAATAGAACCTACTTCCTGGACATGCCTCATATAAAACTTAGATAAAATATTAAAATGAAATGTAACAGTATGAATAGCACTTTTGATATACTATAGTTAAATTTCGACATGGCTAGTATTTGGCCCTAAAATCCCCTTTTTTCCCAAGAAGACATGAGAAGAAGGTATTTTGTTGATTATAATTCCTAAATGCGTGCGTCATTTTGTACTTCACTCTCCAACTAATCAAGCCAGGTATATATATATATATATATAGGTAGATAGCTATAAATAAATATATACATAAGGTAAAGAAAGTAGACATATATTTAATTAAATAATTCCTGTGCTTGAATTTGGCACCCCCTTTTCTCACACGTTTCAGCTTCAGAAAATTTAGCCATTTTTACAATGCCACACAGTTTACAAATGTAAGTTATTTTTACACTTTTTCATTTCTACAATTTTCATTTTTCTAGTTTCAACAATAAGTTTTTAAAATCGCCCAACTCCAGCAGTAATTGCAATTTTAATAGAGTTTTCTTTTTTTGGAAATTGCTGGCTTTTTAGCAAGTTAAGATTTAAGTCTATCTAATTTAGCTTCATTCTTACTCAATGGTTTTATAATACTCATTCGTATGTTGCCATAATTAATTAAAAAGAATGACGTTTTTGAATATTTTGTGTACAGTTTTTTGAGGTTTTTAGCTTTATGTAAATTATGCTTTAGTAAAGTTTTGCATTTCAATTTAGTTTTATTTTGAATTTACTTTTATTCCTTGCTTTAGTAGGGTACAGGACACGTCGGGGTAGTTCTTGTCATTATAGGATTATTAGAAATCTTACTTAGCATTTTAGGACAATTAATTAGCAGTGGTTTGAGTCACATAATGGCAAGAAGAACAAAATGAATGTTAGCAGAGGATGATTAATAGTTTTTATTTGTTTCTCCCATTAATACATTTTTTCAGACTTTTAATAGCCCTTTAAATAACAATTTTCTCTAGCTTTAATGTTTCACTACCAAGTAACATGAGGTAATATTAATGTCATAAACAATTTTTCGTAGCATGATGCCCTAAAGATAATTTCTCCTAGGATGGCAAAAATTTTTTAATAACTCTTTTTAAATTTCTTATTATATTATATATATATATGTTGAATTAGTGATCATTTGAAGGATAACTAACCTAGGAAAATATGTATTTTCTTGGTTTAGATTCCGATATAATTTATAGCCAAATTATATCGGAAAATCATTAATTAGAAAATGTTTGCCAAGATATTGTTGCTACATATTTTTAATTTTGCTTGCTATGTTTTATATGAATTGAAAAAGACTAAGAATGCACAAAATGTTTTTGTCTTGCTTCATTAATTGTTTAATAAAATAATTAAAGTAATTGTTAAAGATTATTATCAAAATATATTATTTTAGTTTTCTTCAAAGTGAATTTGTATACATTTTATGGTGTACTGCAACAGGATCTTTTAATAGTACTTATGCTTTTCAAACTATATTTTTTAAATATGTTTAGTAAATCATGTTTACTTAACTTGAAAATAATCATTTATTTAGATTTTGTCACATTGTCAGTTTTGCATTTTGTTTCTTATACTTGCTGTTGATCAGAACTTCTGAATATTTTGGAATTCCTTCACCACCTGAGATTACGAATACAGCATTAATGATAATGGTATTGAAGGTAATTGCAATTATTTATATATTTTTAATCATACTACTTTATCAAGATAATTTTCTGATTTTTGATACTATACATCTTTTTTGAACAGGGCTAAAGTAGTATTGGTAAATATAACCGGTATTGCTATTAGGAAATTAAAGGGAAAGTGGGATTTTATAATATCGCATGAATAGGCATAGATTTTTACAGTTTAATGTCTTATACCATATTTCCTCATCTATTCCCCTGACCTGGTATTAGGCCCAAGATCTGACTATTTTTTAAATATTCATGTAATTTTCCTCTTCCTCATCAGTTCATTCAGAAAAAAAGTTTGCCTAAATTCTAAAATGGATTCATTCATGTAATGAATGTTTTCATCTTGCTAACTAAAACAAAACCTTGCAAACTACCTGCAAAGGTCTGCCGAACCTTTCCCTTCTAATTGTTGATCTTTATGCCAACCTAATGCAAAAACCGACCAGTCACAGTGAAGCAAACACAAACTGACATTCAGTTTACAGTTTCACTAATTTAGCTGCACATTCACTTTTTCTAATTATTAATGAATGATTTGAGGAATGAGGAGTAGAAGAGATAAGAGATGAGATTCGAGTTACTGGGAATTAGAAATAAAGGCATATTGTTAGATACTGTAACGTTAATATTACTGTGTATTCTTATTGGAATGTATGTTTCATCTAAAGAAATAATATTGTGATAAGTATGTGGTAGTTTATCCATGACTATGTTTCATTTGTTATGTTCTTACTGTAACTGTGTCCTTCAAAAATCGAATTATTCACATAATCTCCCCCCCCTCCCCTTTTAAAATTTGGATGATGAAATTAGGGAAAAAACGGAGAGACTATGCAAAGAAATGCAGTATGTTTGTTATCAAATCAAGACCTATCGCTGGTAAAGGATTTAAGTAATATAAAGACTATGCAGGCACATATTTAAAGTTTATGAAATATTTATAAAGTGTGGAAGTGTTGATTATAAAGTGTTGATTAATCATAATTTCCCTTATTGTTTCTTAGCTGTTTTGCTGTTTGAGCTGAAAACTGACAAAGAGGACAAATTTGCAATGCATGTTTCTTTACAAAAATGGTATGATGAACAATTACATGATGACATGATCAGCACCTGTGGTAGATGTGACCTAATATACGAGGGTCAGTCAAAACTTTAGTTGCACTGCTTAAGAAAACAAAATGCAATAGAAATTTTATAATAACTTTATTTGTATCTTAAAGTTTCATTCAAAATCTAGCTTTTGCCTTGTCATCTGAGTAGTATCATAGCTTTGAAAGTTCTTCTTTCGTGGAACCATAAACATGGAAGTCACATAGTGCAGGTTTTGGGCTATAAGGATGGTGACCTCACACTTCCCACCTAAACTTTTTCAGAAGGTCGGACGTTTGTTTTGCTGCATGAGGTCTTGCATCGTAATGCAGGAGCACAATGCATTTCGACAGTTTACCTGGCCGTCAATTTTTAAATGATTGTTGAAATCATTTTAATGTTTCACAATAAGAAGATGCATTAATTGTGGAACCCTTCGACATGACCTTTGTATGCACCAAACCTTCTCTGTCCAAAAACACCATCAGCATCATCTTTCCCACAGATGGAACAGTTTGACACTTTTTTTGAGTTGGGGAAGTGGAATTTTTCCACTCAAGGGAGCTGCATTTTACTTCAGATGAGATGTGATGAATCTAAGACTCATCTCCAGTCACAGTTTTGTCCAAGAACTCATTTACTTCATTTTGGTAATGTTGCAGAAATTTCATTGCACTTTCAAAACGCTTCCCTTTATTTTCCTCTGTCAGTAGACGAGGCACCCATCGAGCACAAATTTTATGAAATTGAAGTTGATCGGCAATAATTTAATGCACACTTCCATGAGAAATATCCAGTTCATTAGAGATTTCGTCTATTGTTATGCGTCTGTTTGCAGGAATGCATTCATTTACACAAGCAGCAATTTTGGAATTTGTGGCAGTTGATGGTCTTCCCTCGTGCTCAGCATCATCAATATCTGTACGTTTGTCCTCCAACATGTTGCACCGTTTCATGATAGCTTGACAGGACGTTGCATTTTCACCATAAACTTCATGCAACTGCCAATAAATTTCACAGCAATTACACCTTTTCACCCACAAAAAATGAATCACTGCACACGTTTTTAATTGAGATGCTACTTGCAGCTGCTTATGACTGATTATCAGACAAACTAAAATTGCATCATGAAAGTCGCTAAGTCACACCATACAGCTAAATGTCTCAAGTGTTGCCAACCAGATTCATCAAAATAGCCCGTGGCTGAAAATTCTTACGAAGAGGTGCATCTAACCTTCTGACTGTCCTTCATAGAATTGGTGATATACAAATATTATAGCAATACATGTGCAATTCGACATTTTTGTAGATGTAATAGTAGTTTTCAGTCTTTCTGATAGCGCTTGATTCAGTTTTAAAGTCAGATTGTTAGACCATTATCTGAGTCAGTCATTAGCATCTTTACCATTGTTGATTGGAGAGCTGACTTATAATGACACATTTTATATCCAATCCAAGGGAAAATATATGCAAGCATTCTGTCATGACATGGGGAATCAAGGAATGGCCAAGGGAATAATTATACAACAGTATGTGGATAATAAGAAAATTCAGAGGAAAAAACACAGAATATAGAGAGTGTAGCTGAGGAAAAAACAACAAAGTACAGGATGCAGATAATGAGAAAGTTCAGAGGAAAGCGCAAAATATAGAGTGTATAGTTAAGACAAAACTGTGCACAATGCATAGTTTATATGTAATGCCAATGCGTGATAAATAAAACTAAGCTTTCAAAGATTTAGGATTTATATATAAAATTTACAATACAATATATAATAGCGATATACAATGAAGTACAGTAGTTAAAAGCTCGTGTTGCTATATTTAATAAAATATTTAATTCTGGGGATATTTTACATTATTAACAAGAACTGAAGTATTTTTGCAAAGTTCGTATAGAATTATTTTGTGTACAGTAATAGTGCTTGATTCTCATGATGCAAGTTACCATGTATTGAAAGGTGATTTGTGCTAGAATGAATACATGAAATAGCAGAATGTATATTGCAATATATACAGGGTTATTCAAAAAGAAAGAGCAGATTGCAAACATGTATTTCTTCCAAACTACAAAAGATAGAAACATGATTCTAACGTTAATGGATAGAGAAAAGTGTACAATTTAGTACGGCTGAAAGTTCCAATCATGGCCGCATTGGTGCTCTTGTTTGTTCTGGTATTATTTGTCGGTTGGTAGTCTGTAGTGAAATGGCGGCGACACCACAGCAAAAGTCTTTTTGTGTTCTACATTTGGCAAAACTAGAGTCCATTGTTGCAGTTCAGCGAGCATTTCGCCGTCAATTTAATAAACAACCACCGCGTCATAAGCAAATTTATGAGTGGCATCGAAAATTCCTAGAAGATGGTTGCATCTGCAAAGGGAAAAGCACAGGACGTCCACGCACATCAAACGAGAATGTTGAGCGTATTCGTACACTTTACGAAAGGGGCCCAAAGAAATTCACATCGTGAGCAAGCAAACAGCTTAAAATTCCTCAACCAACGGTATGACGAGTTCTAAAACATCGTCTGAACATGAAGCCATACAAACTGCAGTTATTGAATGCATCTTTTCTCTGTCCATTAACGTTAGAATCATGTTTCTATCTTTTGTAGTTTGGAAGAAATAAATGTTTGAAATCTGCTCTTTCTTTTTGAATAACCTTGTATTTTGCAAATGAGAACTGTGCAAAACATGCAGAGAGATGCAATTATATGTATTTCCAGGACAGGACATACCTAATGCAATTAATATATTTTGAGATAATCTTTTGCGACAGTCAAAACAAAACATTCTAGTGTGTTTAAATTATGCTTTCTGGAAATAAAGTGTTGTCTTGTCAGGAGCAAGTCTCTTGACATCACAAACTTAACAACAAAACTTTGTTACCCCTGCCCACTAAGAATCTGCAGCCTATATATCAGAACCTGTTTTCATGATCTGTTTATGCAGAGGCAAAATAATAAAACAATTAAATACATGGTAAGTGAGCACAAATTTAAATCATATCAAGATTATACACGATAAAAATTAATAAAATTGCCCTAAAATGATCTGCAATAGTAATAGAAGAAAACAAATATACAGAAGGGATAAATACGATTATGTAACAAAAAATAAATGAACACAAATACTTGCCGAAAATCGCAACAGTGCTCCCTGCTCAATACCCATCAGCATATCCCATTTAATGGAGGACTGGAAAAAACTGACCCTTATTATCATAATAAAATGCAAATCTTTCAAATCTTTAGATTTGAAAGAATCAGCTCTTTGCGTGCAGAACATCATGTCATTTAGTTTTTTATTACACAGAAGGTTTCTCTCAGCTTGTTTTCAGCAAGAACAAGACACCTTGATGATGCTTGGGGTTCTATAATTATGCTTGAACTCCCTGGCTGTTGCTTTTTCTGTTGCATATTTTACAGTATCTGCTGTATATTTTTTACTGATGTTTCTCATAATTTCAACCAACTATTTTAATCCTGTCTAGAGTATGTGAAAATAGAACTTATTTTTCAAGATTATATTATGGGTAAATGCCATTTGTACTATCCTGTGCAGTAGTGCCTTTTGTCTTATGGCCTAGAGTGGCATTGGTTACGAGACATCTTTTGTGATGTTCAAGAAGTGTTATTGATCTTGGTTAGAAGACATCTTTTATGATTTATAAGAAGTGTTATTGATCTGGGTTATGACCAGCACAGATAGAGTGAGATCAAGGCTGTTAACAGGCAAAGGTTCATGAAGATGTCAGTTTGCTTTTGTTCTCATTCTGTGTTTCATTTTTATAATGACTTTATTTAGTGAATAGTCACTTTATTACTAATGAAGAAAAGTATTGTGATAGCTGTATTTTGATAGCTGTAGCACTGTGCATGCATATTATGAATTGTACTAGTAGTTGGAATCATTTCATTTTTCATCCTGCCCTGAGACAGAAGTAGAAAAGGTAAAAATATAAAGCAGAACATTAATTTTCTTTTTGTTTTTTATATTTTATGAGCTTTAGGCAAATGCACAGTTTTAATGCATTAATTTTTATAAGACTTGATAAATATCAGTATGTACTTCAAAATAAATATCTGATGTTTCCATTTTATGAATTTATGGAATGCTTGTTTTAAAAGTCCACTCTGATATTTATCAAAAAGCATAACAACAATGTGTTAAAGATTCATAATATTAATAATAATAAATTTAATTGAAATTTTCATAAGTAAAAAAAGAAATTGAATTTTAATTATTAATTTATGTTGTTTCTAATCATGGAGAAATAAATTATGTTTAATATTATACATTGTATGGTTTTAGAATTACAGAAAAGAATTAACAGATGTCATTTTTTAAGGGGGGAAAAATCTGTTTTTTCTTGGGGGGAGGAAATTTACAGAAATTTTTATTTGAACAATTTTCCTACGGTGTTTTCTTAATAGCTGACTAATGAAGAAAAGTATTAGCTATGTGACCTCACAAGAAAGAAATTATTGGTATGTATCTTTATTTCATATGCATGATAGGCATGAATTTTACCTTAGTCTGTGTCTGTACTTCAGTGAGTGAGACTGATTGTTTAAATAACAGTGGTAAATAAAGTAAACTTTTAAAACAGCACTTTTCTTGATGCTTGTAGTGATTTGTGGGTATATAAAACTCAAGTGGTGCAAGTTTAATAATAGTTATTAAAAAGTAGGTTAAATAATGCAAATACTGAAATAAATGAATTTTTATAGAATCATGCGTCCCTATTTATTCAAGCAGGAAATTTTGGTCACAAAAAAATGCAAACCTTGTTAGAATTTAACATGCATATTTCCACCAGTATTGTCCACTCAAGTTAATTCGTACCTGCTTGCTAAGGTGTTAAGTATAATATAATTTATACAAATATTATATAGGTATGTAGTAGTGTTATCATTTTTTTAAAAATGTCTTTTTTTTTTTTTTTTTTTTTTTTAATTGGTATGCACACATTTTTTGACAATTAAAAAAATCGAAAGATCATATGACTTGTTGCATGCTGTAATAAATAAAATGTACAGAAAAGCATTTTTATGACTTTTTAATGCTCACTGAAAGCTGGTTCATTCATAGTTTCATTAACAAATTGAAAATTTTAATTTAATATTTTTTGTCTTACATAAATATAATTTTAATTTCAGTTATTGCAATGTCCGGCAGGACCTCATATAATATAATTTTAATTTCAGTTTTTGCAGTGCCTGGCAGGACCTGTTATATTTTATTTTATATGCTATTCTATGAATATTTTACAAATTATGTAGTAATTTAGAACAATATAAATTGATTTTAATTTGTACCAACTAATGTAGCATTTTTTTAAATTGTTTATTTATTTTTCTACCTCTAAACTGAAATTTTTAGCTAGAAAACCAAGAGAAACTGTTTTAATTTTAGTATAACACCTGAATATATTTTTTTAAAATTCACATCTGTTGGTATCAAATGGCTGATCACCTTTTCTCAATTTAAGTATGCTATGTTTCAAAAGTTTACTTAAACAAAAATTAAAATTTTAATATATTAAATAAAATGTCCATTTTTATAATATGTGCTGATTTGATTATAATTTATTGATTAGACATTGAAATTTAGTTTTTTATTAAAGTCGGGTTTTTATTTTTTAAGAAATCTTGTGTTTTTATTATAGATGTTCACTTAAAATCGGTTTAAATGAAGGTAAAGTTTCTTTTAAATATAGACTAAGCATTCATGCAACATGTAAAGCTGGTTCTTTATATAATTTTTAGAATCTAGATTAATAAATAAACGTTGCTGTAAATTTCACTTTATAGTTAGTTACCAAAATTGAAGTTGTTTGATCTTTCTAAATTTGCACTGAACAGTATGCTCAGCATGTGTAAACTTTTATATAAAATGTTTTATTCATTAATATTTGACTGTTTTTTACATTTAACTTATATTTTTTATAGATGGTTGGATTAGCCTATGAAATAAACATTTCTTGCTTAAAGCAGAAGTCTGATGTTAAAGAACCTTATCTTCATCAAATTCCTACATTCCTAGATATTATACAGTATTCATTTTGCTATGTGGGTATATTTGTTGGTATGTTTTCTCTTCGTTATTTTCATTTTATTTGGTTTCATTTTTCTATTTAGAAACATAAGGTAGCAAATGCAGGAAGGGGGGGTAGAGGTAAGTGTCAGTTTTGTAAGCATTTTGAAGTGAAGAAATGTACCATTAGATGCAAATCAATGAACAACTGTGAAAAAGATCTATTAGTGAATATTTTAGTTCAGATCTTTTAAAATATAAGTGAAATAACTGATCAAATTCATGAACAACTGTGAAAAAGATCTGAAGTAAAATATTCACTGGATTTTAAAAAGTGAAATAACTGTTATTTACTAGTTAATAAGTAGGAATAGAATGTCTTTATCACAGTGTATTAAAAAAAAAATCAATGAGTATTCTCATTTTATCACCAAGCAACTATTAATTTAAACCATTGCATAAACAGAAATGCATAAATTTATATCATTTTTATAGAAACATAAATTTTTGTTAAATTTGCTATTAATGAACAACATTTGATTAAGGTGTTTATGTTCAAGATAATCAATTAATCTTAATTCTTTAATATGTGTTCAGTTTTTAATAAATGTATAAATAAAATTTATTTAATTTATAGCAGTAATAACTAATATAACTGCACTGGATAATTAACAAATTATTTCAAATGTATTAATAATATTGTCCAAACATTTGAACAAATTGCAACTTTTAACTGAAATAATCAGTTAGTGCAATCAGACTATATTTCCTAGATATAATACACAGTTTCATTTATAAAAATGTAGAATCTATCTACATTGTTACAAAGTTTGCTGGAGGTGAAAACAGGAAAAATTCATGTATGCCCTTATTTGGAAACAACCATGGATCTTCCCGTTTCCATGTATATATGCCAACTACTGCACCTCAAAGACATGCATAGGAGGATTGCCATAATTACTTGCATATGAACTATTTTTCATCAAAAAGGCATTGAACTTATATTTATGTTAATGGCTATTATATTAACAGAAGTAATTGATGTAATATACGAGTGTGCTGCAACCCTTCTGGCTTATAATAATCAGCCTCGTGGTTAACGCAGCAAACCCAACACAGATTAAAACAAAAATACAGTTAAAAGCATCAAATAAAAATTCCCAAAATTGTTTTATTGCCATTTATAAAGTTCATCAAATCCTTTTCAAATCTAAACCCTTTCCTGTATCAATAGAATTCCTTTATGTTGTCATGTTCTTCCCTAACATGTTGAAATGGTATGCGGTATTCAACAAAATGTCATGCATTGCCTTTACCACTACAAATGTTACAAAGTTTGGAAATTAGATCTTTACAGGTAAGATAGGAAGTGCCTGTGTCCAGTAATTATTTGATTGTATCAAAATTCACATACCATACCATTTATCACAAACCATTTTAGGAACTTCAAAGTTCAACAAATAATCTTTCCTTTATCCTGAAATGTTCCATTTTTCTTTCCATTAATCATAATAGAAATCCTTGATTTTACCAATACAATTCTTTTTTATGCCTGAATATTGCATGCATCCCAGCATTGCCCATAGCATCCTCTTTGTCCAGTATGCTGGCCCTCTTGTTGCCTAAACACCAGTATGGGCTTTCATCCACTTCATTTTTACTTCATGTATGTTCTCAACTTTTGCAAGGAGATCTTTTATAGTATAGGAGACTAAAATATTAGTGTTATTAGAATCTTCTAGTGCTTCCAAACCAGATAATGAATCTGTATATGATAGGAGCGTATTCCGCTTGAAAAACAGAATTGTAAGGTTCAAGTCTAATCTTGCCATAGTCTATTTCTGTGACAAAAAAATAAACCACATATACTGCACCAATTCCGTTGTCATAACCTGAATCATCAGTAAATATATCCAGTTCTTCTATGCAAACATTTGGTCTCTGTTATTCCACTGCTTTTCTTAATGCAGGATGTATATTGTTAATATTAAAGCTAGAAAAACATGTATTATTTATTTGCAGTAAACCCTCTGTAAGTAATAAAATCAACATTTTGTGAACATAGTGTAAATTTATTATAATAAAAAGAATAAAATATGTAGAGGGGCAGCATACTGGCCAATATGCAAATGACTTCCATCATTTAAAGCATCTAGTTGGAAGCAGCAGCCAGGTTCATTGTATTGTATCTAATTTATTTCTGATTTGCTGCAGGTCCAAGGTCCTTGAACCCCAAGCCCCAACACCATATAATATAATGGGAGTAATAGTAAAACAAGAAATTAGTTTTCTGTATATTTAATCTCATATTTTCTTTTTCAATTCACATTCTTAGATCTTCTACAGCAAATGAAAGCAGTTCTTTTAATTTCTCCAATGTGTTTTCAAGAATCATGTATAAAATGTCATCAGCATAACATTATGTTCTTATGGCATTTGGACACTCTTTAACAATGCATACATTATGGTCTTCCAGAGCAGCGGAACACTGCAGGAATCCTGTGGGCATTCTTTGTAAACCATTCCTTCAATACAAATTTCCTTATTAAATCCATAAATACCTTTCCTTTCATTAAAATAACTAAGAAAAGTTTTATAAATATTTTTGATTATTCCCAAACTCTCCAAGATTGAAAAGCAAAGATGGCCATCTAACAGAGTCAAAGACTTCTGAGACATTGAAGGACACCACAGCCACATGGAATTCAGATTTTTGCGAGCTAATAATATTGACAAGATCATGAACAGCATTTTTTGTGGAGCAGCCTGGTGTAAATCTCTACTGTTTTGTAGATACAAAATCATTCTTTAATAAAAAGTAGTATAGTATATTTGTAAGTAACTTATGCAAAACTTTTGCACAAAATTTTAACAAACGTATAGGTCTGGTCACCCCACTAAACTTTGGAATAAACAAAACTCTAGAAACTTTCCACACTTTAGGAAAATAGCATAAATCAAGGCATTTATTATGTTATATAACACAAAGAAATCAAAACATTTCTAAATAAAAATTATATCATAGTGGCCAGGATCCCATCTGAGCACATCCATCATCCTGCAGCAAATCCACACCCAAAAAGCCATCTTCAACAAAGCCACAATTGAAGTTCCTATTAAAATAAACCTTTATAACTTCAAAATTATTCACATTAGTATAGTACAAAGTCCGAAATCCGCACTCGTCGGGACTTCGGCTATTCCGGATTTGGGATTTTCCCGGATATTAGATCTTGAGTTTAAACTTAGTAAATGGCATGTATAAATTATAAAATTAAAAATATGAAATCGTGATTTACGAAATAATAAAGTATTTATGATCTAAAGAGTATCAAAATTTACAAAAAAGCTTAATACAGTACAAAATCCAAAATCCGGACTCAGCGGGACTTCGGCGATTCCAGATTTGGGATTTTTCCAGATAATAGATCATCAGTTTAAAATCTAGTAAGATGGCATGTAAAAATTATACAATTAAAAATATGAAATCGCGATTTATGATCTAAAGGGTATCAAAATTTACAAAAAAAAAAAAAAAAAAGCTTAATATTTGTTTGTTTGCTTTATTAAACATTTCTTTCAATGTAAGTTGTTTTAAGTTCGTTTTTTGTGCTAATACTTTCTCTTTAATTCTGTAGACAGACATAATCTCTTGTTAGTTACATTGTTGAAGTCTAGTAACTGCTGTTTTGAGAATTCCGACTAACGTGTCAATCCAAATTTTCTAGTTTGCAGTAACTTCTCTGTCACTTTCTTTACTATCAATAGTGGTATTTTCTGGATCTAGAAACATACTACAGATTTTGCCATTCATTTATTGATTGATGATTGAGAAGCATTGTCATCACAATGAAAACTTCTTTTATATTGTCTTCATTTATTACTGCTTCTCCACATTTCTTTACAAAATCCGTTAATTGGAAAATTTCACCTGTGTTTTGCGATATCCGGAAACCTTTAAAATTAGTGGCTATCATCAAATTTAGCTGTCCTTCACTATACACATTTGGCTGTGCATCATGAACTTGGTGACTAACGACAAGTTGTTCCGTTAAATTTTATCTTGCTTCTATCGTGCACTAAGACAGTTAAGCCTGAATTGTATTAGTTTAGTTATTTATTATACTTATGTCTATTTCTTGCACACGCTTAAGGCTTATCAGAGTTCTGAATAAATAAATTCCCACATATACTTAAGCCTTATTAAGGGCCAGCTGGATATCTTACCGCCTAATGCAGTCTCTGTGGGTCCTAAATTCTGTGACCCAGTGTGGCCATACGAGCCCTGCCACTGGTTCTGAGTTTATGTGAATAACAAATCAGTTTATTCTTAATTCAAATAGCCTAAATGTAATCTTTGGGTATATGAGTATCATCAACAAAATCTATTTTTAGCATATGGAAAGAAATGTTTGGTAAATTTTTCCTCGTCAACATTTTAAATTCATTTAACTTAAATCTGTAATCATCGCCAAGCGTAATGTCAACATAAAAGGTTAGCATACTCCTTTATTATTCAGTTACTAATATAAAAAAATTGTTTTGCCATTGCTACATGAGTCATTACTCAAGTTGTCATGTTTTGATAAACATGCGGTGATGAAAGAAAAGTATAATAACTAATGATTCGCCAGGTTGGCATCAGATCAACGATGTATCTAGGTGGAATATTTCAGTTTGAGATGTGTGCCAAGCAGATATGCGGCAACGGAACCAAATTACTGATCAAACAAATTTATGCTGAAATGATTGTTTCTTCAATAACATGGTATTTTATTTAGTGTCGAAGTAAAATTAAGAATCAGAACTCTCCAGATGTTTTATTATGCATGGAGGTGGGAATTAAATGTGCATGCGTAAAGCCTACGGGAAAAACGTTGGTAGTTTTGAGGTTCGGATTTTGGATCTTCCAGATAATGGATGCCCGGATTTCAGACTTTGTACTGTATTAAATTTTTCTCTCATAATCATTTCCAAGACACGTATATTACCACTAGCCGCACGAAGAAATCCTCCATAATATTTCCCACTCTCAGCAAGGAATGCTATTTTACTCTGGCATTTTACTATCTCTATTATTATCTTATATGTAGCTAGTTCTTTTTTATATAGGATGTTTCTTTCTATATGAACATTGTCATCAGTTTTTCTAATCTGATAGTGTTTTTTAAATGTGCGAATCCATCATTATAATCTCTGCACTTCTGGCGTCCACCACAAAATAGCATTCTTATCAATCTTCTTAAGTCTAAGGACCCTGTTAGCTCTATCAACTAATATATTTTCCAATTTAACAATAAAGTAATCAAGATCATCTTTCTCTGCAATATTTATCAGTTACTTTCTTGACTTCTTAATTTTACTTCTTGAACCTTTAATATATCTTTCAACTCTTTGTATATCAAATGAGAATCTAATTTCCTCGTTATATTCCTCACATATTTCATTCAAATTAAACGAAATGTATTTATGATTGCTCAAGGACTCCTCTTGTTCAATACTACTTAATTCCACAAACATTGAGGACATTCCAAAGGATCCTAAAATTAAATCCAATCATCCTCCCCAGCTGAAGATACAAAAGTAGGCAATGAATTAAAAGTCATTATAGAGAATCAAATTGTTCTATAATATTAAATCAAAAGTTAAAATTCCCCTATTATCAATACTTCTAGCTCCCCAGTTAAAATGCTTAGAGTTAAAAATCTCCCAATACAAGAAAATTATTATAACATCTTCCAATTTAATTAAATTCCGATTAATTCCAATTTAATTAATTTTAATGCAAATTCTCCGCTGGAGAGAAATACAGAAACAGTTCCCATAAAATCTTTGTCTATGGAAACAGAAACCACAACAATTGTATATGAAATCATATCTGCTGTAAATCTAATATTTTCATTGGCAAACACAACAGCAGATCTACCACCATTCATCATTACCACTCTCCAACCCTTTTTTAAATTTGTAAATATTTCTGTTGTGTTAAATTTGTGTTTTATTTTCATGAAGTTATTAAATATTAATCAGTTGTGGCATGGCAGCTGTCAACTATAGAGAAATAATTAGTGTATTGATTAATATTTATTCCTCAGAATTACTCCAAACGAGCACTGACTGCTTCCTGAAGGTCTGAATGGCTGTCTTTGTAGTTTTGATGTAATTGATTGGAGAGCAATGTGTAAAGTAAAAATTATACTCTGGTCTGCAGTGTAATTTGTTGTGTCAGTTTACTTATATAGATTAAAGCGATATTTTTAAAGCCAGATAGGAAGAATTAGGATGTATATTATTGTTCGGAACATCAGTGGGAAAGTGATACATAATAAGAATTTGTCTTTCTGATAAGTCGAAATTTATACTAAATGTTATGTTACCTGTGCTATTCTTCTGTTTGTGGTTTCACATCCAGTTGTGGGTGATTTAGTAGTGAAATGAAAGCATGATAGAGTTATAAAACATCAATCCCAATCAGAGAAATAGAAAAAAATGACAAATACGGATTGTCATTGTTTTCTAGATGGGGTAAGTTAGATTGACAAGCTTAGCTAGAAACTGTGGTCAGGGACTTTTGACTAGCATTTAGAAGTAGTATCAATACTCATACCATTCGTCAAGAGGTCTTTGCACTTGTATTCCATGACCAAGGTACAGTTCATAAACCAGTGATCACAAAATGACTGCTTGTTGCCAATTACAATAGTACAAAACATATTCTCTGTACTAATTCAGAAATCAAACAACAAAAATAGCGTTATATTTACAAAATTTTCACAGGACTAGTTTCGATGGTTTTACCGAACCATCATCTTCAGCTGCAAAACCGCAAATGAACAAGATAGGAAATAATGATTAGATCAGATAAGAAAGCCTGGACAAGAATAAGCAAGTGGCGCCATCTGTTGGCGAAACCAGAACTAAAACATAATTTCTCTAAAAGCCAAAGGCAAATTTGGATTGGAATTAGGATCGTTAACTAGAACAGAAAGATTTTTATGAATGTGAAATGCCTCTAGAAAATCCAGTTCTCCAATGGAAGATGTTTTTTTGAATAATTTTTGGCAGCAGAAAAATTGAAAGTGTGATTTTCGGACCAACAATGTTGAGCAACAGACGAAGACTTCTGTGTTTCCTCCTTTTTTCTAACATATGCCTCATGTTCTTTGACGCGAAATTTTAAGGCTCTCTTAGTTTGGCGAATGTAAATTAAACCACACTGGCAAGGAATCCTATAAATACCCCAGGAATTCATATCCGGAATGGGGTCCTTGAGTATAGAAGTTGGAATTTTATTGATGGGAGAATAAACAACCCGAAAGTTAAATTTCTGCAAAATATGTGCAACTTTATAGCTAATTGATGGAAAGAACACGTAACACATCCAACTTCAGTACTACAGTTTACCGTAAACCTTCATCGGTTTGCCTTCCACCACACTTTAAATCATGTCATCCGACTAAACAAAAGTTAGCTTCATTTTATTCCTATGTTTTCCGTGCTCTTCAAGTTTGCTCCTCCAAACTAGCCCTTGATGAAGAACTAAATTATTTAAAAGCAATAGCTATTGACAGGGGCTTTTCACCCAACATTATTAATCAAGCAGTTAAAAAATTTTCATCTCAACACACTAAAAGCCACACTCTTATTTTAGGAGATTATAAAAATTCTGTTGTCATTCCCTTCTTTCCATCAATTAGCTATAAAGTGGCACATATTTTGCAGAAATTTAACTTTCGGGTTGTTTATTCTCCCATCAATAAAATTCCAACTTCTATACTCAAGGACCCCATTCCGGATATGAATTCCTGGGGTATTTATAGGATTCCTTGCCAGTGTGGTTTAATTTACATTGGCCAAACTAAGAGAGCCTTAAAATTTCGCGTCAAAGAACATGAGGCATATGTTAGAAAAAAGGAAACACAGAAGTCTTCTGTTGCTCAATATTGTTGGTCCGAAAATCACACTTTCAATTTTTCTGCTGCCAAAATTATTCAAAAAACATCTTCCATTGGAGAACTGGATTTTCTAGAGGCATTTCACATTCATAAAAATCTTTCTGTTCTAGTTAACGATCCTAATTCCAATCCAAATTTGCCTTTGGCTTTTAGAGAAATTATTTTTTAGTTCTGGTTTTCGCCAACAGATGGCGCCACTTGCTTATTCTTGTCCAGGCTTTCTTATCTTATCTAATCATTATTTCCTATCTTGTTCATTTGCGGTTTTGCAGCTGAAGATGATGGTTCGGTAAAACCATCGAAACTAGTCCTGTGAAAAGTTTGTAAATATAACGCTGATTTTTGTTGTTTGATTTCTGAATTAGTATTTATTCGGCGTGTTATTGTGTCTTAATATTCTCTGTAGACTGTAAAACAGTGAAAGAATGGTGAATCATGGTACATGTGCCATTCTGGTAGACGTGTATGGGCTTTGTGACTAACAGGTGAGCATTGTTTACGATGATGCATTTTTTCCAAGTTGGGGAAGGAAAGAAATTATAGAGGAGCATATTTTTCTTGGTTTTAACCTTGGCCCTCTGTTTCCCCATAGCAGTTCACGCATTCATTAGCAAACACCATAACCCAAGTATTTTGAGAAATTGAGAGTGAATAAACTTGGCTGACTGACCTAAAGCCCTGATCTCAAGTATTTCTGGGGTGATTTAAAGTGTCGATTGAGAGCTAAACTAGACCTTCCCAAACCCACCGCAGAACTGCTTGCCACGTTGCAAAAGGATTAGAACTATATACCTAGAAACATCCATTGAAACTTAATGTAAATTCTTCCTTGAAGGTTAAATATTAAACTGTGATAGTGGCTGATAGCAGGCATGCATCCTTTCATACTGACACTATACTAAGTTTAGTTAAGAATTTCCTGAGTATCCAGTCATTAATGGCAGCATTGTGTATATACAAGATCCAGGATGTAAAATTCCTTTTCATAATGTCTCTGTCTCTCTCTCTATATATATATAGTACAAAGTCTGTAATCCGGACTCGTCGGGACTCCGGCGATTCTGGATTATAGATCATCAATTTAAATCTGGTAACATGGCATGCAGAAATTATACAATTAAAATATGAAACTGTAATTTATGAAATAAAGAGCAATTATGATCAAAAGGGTATCAAAATTTACAAAAAAAGCTTAATATTTATGTTTACTTTATTAAACATTTCTTTCAATGTAAGTTGTTTAAGCTGCTTACATAAAAAATTCTAAAAGTTCTTTTTTCTTATGTCATATACAGTTGACTTTCCAATGCCATACTCCTCGCATAATTTTGAGACGGATATGCCTTTATCCATTTTTTGCAGCAATTCCACTTTTTGTTTGATGGAACGTGCTTTTGCTTTGTAGATCCTTTGGCAGCTCCAGAATTGGAAACTATTTTTGACATAATCGAAAGTTCAAGCTTAATTTTTTTAAATTGCTCTAACAGTCTGCAAAAAATAATAAGCCGGATCCAGTTAGAAAATTAAGGAACAGCGCAATCTGCAACATTAACTGAAATGCCTTAGAATCAGTAAAGATAATTTTAGCCTAGCTTATACCATTCATTATGCATTAAATGCGCATGTGTAAATGCATTACGTGCATGCATAAAGCATACAAAAATAAAGTTTGTGGCTTTGAGGTCTGGATTACGGACTGTGTACTGTATATGTATATATACTATCATAAAATGTGCTCACATATTCTATTTAACACAATTACTTTCTGCATGTGTAATTATTTATACTGAATTCTCATTTCAGGTCCTTACTTTAAATTTCAGACATATGAGGACATGTTTACAAAACCTTACAGCACAAATGTTTCACATTCAACTTTTTTGAAGAAACGTGTTGTTGTTGTACCTTTATACATATGTTTATACCTTGTCTCTGATTATTTATTTCCTCTTTCTGTAAGTATGCCAGTAATGTATCATGTATTTTACTATTGTTTCATAAATAAATTAGAATAAATTCTTTGAATATATATTCCTTAGATTGCTGTATCTGATGAAATCTGGAAATTTCCATTTCTGTGCAGAATATTTCTTATGATGGTTTGGTTCTTCAGTTTTCGAATGAGAATATATATAGCTTTTGTGCTTGCGGAATGTATTTGTATTAATTTGGGACTTGGTGCATATCCTGAGAGTACCTGTCCAAAACCAGGTGCAGGACCAACATCCATACATGGCTTATATGTTGAGTGAGTATCATTATCAGTCACAGATTTAACTAAAATTTGATTGCAATATTTCTTCTATGTATGTGTATTTCAACATTATATGTGTGTTTCAATATTATTATGTGTATTTGAACACTATATGTTAGTGGGCTGTTACTTTAATAGTCTCGAGTGAGTGTGTGATAAAGAGTGAATCAAAAATAAGTTCTTAAGTGAGTGGGTGATATAGAGTGAATCAAAAATATCTGGCAAAAATGTAAAGGTAGGTAAAGAGGACCAAAATAAGAATATTTTGCAGTAATTGATATGAGTAGATTTGATGTGCCAGATCACTTATTGAGGTGCTACATAGCGCTGATGAGCTGGACCTAAAAGCATTTTGCTAATGTAAATTGTCATTCCTTGTACACACTCAAAATAGTAAGCAATGCTAAATGAAGGCAGAGCTCACTGATATACATTTAGTCTGTGGTGCTGTGAATAGCTGCGGGACATCTACTCAAAGGAAGTACATGGAAATCATTCATTATACAATGTTTTAGTAACTGCTTCATTTTAGCTGCAACCACATAAAGTACTTTTCAGTGAGCACGAGATTCATGTATTGATGCATACCAATTGAAATCTACAAGAGGAATGACAGTAAGCTGGCAAGGTAAGTTGCATATTCATGTATTTGCAAATTTATCCTCCCTTATTGGCTGTGGCTTAGACCCTATTCTATAGGTGTAAACGAAGGAAATGACTTTTATGTCTTATGACTATGACAACTGTGATAGCTAAACCATTATCTGGATGCTTCCTGACATTAACACCTGTAGCACTACAGAACATCGACCAAAAATTTTTAGCTTTAATACATTTGTGTATAGCTGCTCAAATTGGAGGCTTTGAGCGTGTTTAAGCATTAGTACTGACAATTCCTAATTCTGGAATAGTATTTTGTATTTTTCTTCTTCTATAGTATTATACTGCTGTGTGAATTTCTTGCAGTAATAAACTGTAGCTTGTTGTCTTGTTAGTTTTATTAGTAAATTTGCTTCTGCCTCATGTCACACACACAATCAGTGACATTATACAGGTGATAGGATATCAGACATCAGCATTCTGGGTCTTTAAGTTATTGATGTCATTACATGTTAAATTGATTACTCTTTATGCATTTGCTATTTACGTTTTCTGCTGTCTCTCATAGTTTTTGAGATAAATTTGCTAACTTCCAGAATTCATTGTAGGGATGGCACAATCAGTTTTGTAACAGAGTGTAATGAATTTATACCAGGTAGACAGAGCTTCCACAATTCTAGTTTTCTTTGTTGTTTAAGGACTGTACTAATCACTCTGATTATGCAAAGGTTAGGGAGTTTTGGTAATTACCTCATTAAGAATGAACTTGAATAGGTATTGATAGTTTGGGAAACAGATTTTGATGTGAGATCAAGCATCTCTGGGCTGTTTGCCTTTACCAATCAAAATCTTAAAAGTAGAACAGCACACAACTGAAGAGAAATTCATGAAGCATTAGACTAGCTTCACTGGGGTTTTGTACTTGGGCAAGTGAATATACCGTTCAAAGGTTTAAAAGGTAGGTAGTTACCTGTAAGCAGATCTTGTAGTTAGCAGAGTTACCTGTAGATGTAGCATTTGCTACATCACAAAAATGTTAATGTTTTGTTTTGTTTGTTTAATTTCTCACTGTTATATTTTAAAGAAAATTATTTATTACTTTTTAAAGCATTTATTTTTTTAAAACATTATTGTTGTAATTGTTATTATTTTTTAGGTTTAGTAGATGAATATATTTTCACTAGCATTAAAATAGGTCATTGACATGTATCCTATTATATACAGTACTTTTAAATTGAATTTTAAGAATATGTCACTGCTCAAATAGGTGGTCAGTAACATGAATAGTAAATTAAAATAATGCACATTATTCTCTGTTATTAGCAAAATTTTGAGAAATAGCTCTCAAAATTATACGTAGCATTAAATTTGAGGGAAGTGGATGATATATCACCGTGATTGCATTACAATAGTGTAGGACCCCAAACTGGTTGCATGTTTTATTTTGTTAGGTTTTCCCAATAAATAACATGAATATGAGCTATTTTCTTTTAGAAATTTATCCTCTTGGGCAGAGAGCCCTCATGTGCTCTGCCATATTGAAATAATCTAAGTTAACACTTGCTACCCATTAGTGGCTGAATGGCACTAGTTATTAAAGCCACAAAACATTAGTAGTTTGCCCTGACTATTGTAACTAGAGGATTTGCTTACAATTGGCAGTGCTGCTGTTAATCAGCCTTTGTATGCCTTTATCACATTCTACCATTTTTTAAACTGATCCTTTAAATGCTACTTCTTAACTAATATTTAGTTCTATCAAATTAAGCAAGATGTCACCACTATCTGAGATATCTGTGTTTAATGCATTGTCTTTCCTGATCAACTTCAGATTTAACTAAATAGTAGATTATGTGCCTAAATTCTTTTATAAACAATAAGGAACATTGATAGTCTAGTTCATTAATGCAGTTTCCATCCTGTTTCTTCTCTGGGAGAGACTGACTCCATGTAAGGATTGATAGCTGACTGGCTTGCATTTAGATTAGGTTGCATGTAACTGCAAATTGGAACTAAATGCTTTTTTATTATATATCTATCAAAAGCTCTGTTTGTGATATAATAACAACAATTGGCAATTAATATTGAATGCATAGAGACAAATTGTCTCTTAGATAAGTATTGTCCTCTTTATACAGTACAAAGTCCGTAATCCGGACGTCCATTATCCGGAATGATCTATAATCCGGACCTCAAAGCCACAAACTTACACATACACGTAAAGCATTTACGCGTGCGCGTTTAATGCACGCGTCCGCTACGCATGCACTTAAAGCCAGTAAAGCGTTTACACATGCGCGCTAGTGAAGAAAGTGACAGAGAGGTTATTGAAAATGAAAAAATTTCGATTGACAAGTTAGTCGGTATTCTCGACACAGCAATTACAGGATTTGAACAGCGGAACTTTGTAACTGAACAAGAAATTATGTCTGTTTGTAGAAGAGAGAATTAAAGAAAGTATTAGCACAAAAAAATGAAGCAACTTAAACAACTTACATTGAAAGAAATTTTTAATAAAGTAAACAAATAAATATTAAGCTTTTTTTTTTTTGTAAATTTGATACCCTTTAGATCATAATTGCTCTTTATTTCATAAATTACGGTTTCATATTTTTAATTGTATAATTTCTGCATATCATCTTACCAGATTTAAATTGATAATCTATAACATGGAAAAAAAAACGTAATCCGGAATTGCCGGAGTCCCGACAAGTCCGGATTATGGACTTTGTACTGTATTAGAATCTTGCTAGTGGCAAGAGTCTTTCAGTCTAGAGTTTCAGAGTATTCTGGATATTTGCTGTGTCTGGAACAATTTTCAGAGTGAATTAGTGTTGCCATTTAAATTTTTTGGTTGTACCTTTACATACTTTAATTCATTATAATTTAAGGCGATATCAGAGGAGATATGGAATTATTGGCCAGTTGGCTCTCTAACTTCGAGAGGTCTGATTACAGACACAATGCAGATTAATAAAATCCCTTAGCATTGGCCGTGAAATTATAAATCTTGTAATATCAAGGGGAGGCACTACCAAACCACTCCTGTAATGTCAGAGCATGTCGTCTCACACCTCATAACAACTCGAAGACTGCAAATTCTGAGGGAACCGCTCATATGAATTTCTTATCTCTGTGTGGTTTGTCGTAGCTGCAACCATGAAAAAAGGGAGGAAAAAAAAGAAACCCATGAATATTAAACTGATGAAGGGGAGAGAGTCACCTTTGGAGTTAGATTATTTGAATATGGCAAAAACCATGAGAGCTGTTGGCCTAAGAGGAGGAGTGGGGCCGAGTCACTTGTGAAAGCTCCCAGAAAACTATGTTTGACTATATGAGCATATTATGTTATGTTTTAACTGAAGTTTAATTATTAAGCTGTATTCTTAAATCTTTACACGTTACTGAAAGCGATATATTTCTTTTGGTCATCCTCCAGCAGCCATATGGTTAAGACCCATCAGTGGTTGAGCAGATAAAACCTTCCATAGTTCTCTGTTCAATGCCTGTTGAACAGACTGCACAAGGTGTTTATGGTTTTCCCCATGTGTGGGATGAATACAGTGCAATTTTATCTTAAAATGTTCTCTGAAGGCATTCATTCTAAGAGAAGTTATATGGTTTGATTTCCTCTAGTAAGTTAACCAACTGTGTGGCAGATTAGTGATTGCTGACATTTTATGTCGTATTTGAGTCTCGGTGACCAGACTATTTAATAGTATTTTTTTTCTTAGTTTTCTGGTCTATAATATTCAAAGACTGGGCAACGTTTCGTAGAGCATTCTTCACAAGTATATTCCTTTCTATGTGAATAGCTGTCATATTCTTCTTTGGCACAGGAAATTGGATTTTACCCAGGGCTTAATTTCTAAAATTAGAAGAACCAGGCTACTATTGAACACCATTAGGAAGGAGAAACAAGAATAAATAAATATATAAAGTAATTAATAATTTTTAAAATTAAATAAGTAAATGGTAAATAGTTAAATAATAAAATATAGTCCTTGACCTTGTCTTATATGCATTTCCATCTGGAATTAAAATTTGACACAAAAACTAAAAAACAGCTCAATGGTTTCTGGTTGAAATTAATCTCTGAATGTAATGACCTACTTCAAGGGATAATGGAAATAAAGATCACTCTTTTTCCAGCATGCCAATGAAAAATGTTAAAATGGTTAAAACGTCACTAATAAGACTAGTGAGAATGACATAAGTAGTAACAGAATATAGAGAAAATTTTAACATAGGATGTGTAGGTGTGAAAACAGTAATAGAAGAGTCCAACATTTTTTGACAACAATTCCTTGTCAATGTAATTCTAGCTGTCAAGCAGAATGTGACTAAACAATTTTCCTCGAATCCGAGTGTTAGCTGAGAAAAAGGCAGCAACT